GAGCGCGCCGGGCCCCCTCGGGTGCGGCTGTGCCGAGACCGAGCGAACACCCACGTCCCAAAGTAACAGCCCTGGGCTGGGCGTCGGCCCCGGGGGGAGCCCGCAGGGCAGGGAAACAATTATTATTTTTTGCCTTTAATGGAGCACAGACGTCTCTCCCTGCCCGCGCCTGTGCTGGGACACCTGGGCTTCTGCGTTTTGTTTTTTTATAAAATGTTTTATACTTACATCGATTTTTATCCAAGATTACATTAAAGATCAAGCCACAATTCTTTGTGGCATTATTATTTAGCAACTATAGTGCCATACATAGTGAGGTAGAAGGATGTTCGTTGCCGATTTCTTTATAATAGAGAAACATGGGCTTAAATACCCAGACACAGGGTAAGGTAATTTGTGTCACTGTTTTGCAGTGTTTACCACTGTCATAGGAAAACATCTGACCTAGAAATATGTACATTACGATATATTAGGAACTGCAGGCAGCAATTTTTGTTCAATGAAAAAAATGTGAAAATGCCATAGAGGCTATACACTGATAGGGTAACTATCAGTGTAGTTACAGATAGTTACATCTGCCTATAACTGATAGATAACTGGTAGTTATCTCTGAATGGTGGCACTATAACTCATTTTATCTTTCTTTTTGCTTCTCTACATTCTCTGGTTTAATGAGAANTCTCTGAATGGTGGCACTATAACTCATTTTATCTTTCTTTTTGCTTCTCTGCATTCTCTGGTTTAATGAGAATATTACTTCTGTAAAACATAACAGCAAACATACATATCAGTGTACTTAGAATTTAAGAGCAGACACCATCAATGACATGGACCCTGCACACACGTGAGCCGTGGAAGGAAAGCTCCCTCGTGGGAGAGCTGCTATTTTGACTGTATTTCCGAGCACAGGGCAAAGTCAAGAGACACGTTAGTACCTTGAACCCCGGAGCCCTCACTCTGGAGGAAAGAGCCTGCGGTGGGCCGAGTAGGAAGCGGGCGCTGGGAGCCCGCCTGCGTGGAGGAGACAGCGGACAGCCACAGTGGGGACACGCTGCAGACCCCGGGCGCCCAGGCTCCCTCCTCTTGCCCTTCTGCCTCTCCGCCCTCTCCTCCCCTTCTTTGCTCAGCAGCCCCCGCTTCCTTATGAAACCCTTTAGATACCTAGAACCCTGGGCGCGGGCAAGGATGGGCTCTCCTGCACCTGGCTGACTGGGGCAGGAATTCCAGCGTCTGGGAGATGAACTTCCCAGACTCAGTTACTGCATCTGGGAAATGTCCGGATTACAGGACTCCGGGGTTTCTTCTGGCCTTGACTTTCTATGATAACGCCTGGATAAATGTTCTCTCCCCAAACGAAACTTAAGGTAGTTTCCTGTTTAAACTTTTAAAGACAAGGACAGCATCTAATTTCTGTACACAGGGCATGCACGTCTAACCTAGTAAGCCAGATGTTTTAGGGGGAATATCTTCAACTATAAAATAAAAATCCCAGGCCAGGAGGTGCATGGAAATGGGAACTCGTAATATTCTTCCAGCCACCTCCTTTTAATCCTCATAAAATGTTATTAACACTATTAAGCTACACTATACAATGAGAAAGAACTGGGTAATTACTTTTCATTATTTAGGCTAAAACTTACACTTACGAAGAATATGCTGACACAGAGCGTGCCCAGTATACCTCGGGGACAGCACGGGCACATCATCCTTAGTGTCCCTACGCCCCTAGAACCTATCACACAGTAGGCACTCAATAGATGGTTAGGCTTTGATGAAGTTTTTAAGAAGCTGTAAATATAAAATGTGTTCCCTGTTCCCTGCACACAGCATATTCAGTAGCAGAAGGAACAATAAATATAAGCCCAAGATCAATCACTTCAGTTTACTTGGGGTTTTAATTCCTAAGTCTGAGTTTAGCAAGCCCAGTCGTTTCCATGGAAATACCTCATACAGTTGCAAGCAGATGGCGTCTATGAAGCCGACTTGCATGCTTGGGATTTTGTTTTTCTTCTCCCTGTTCATAAGATCCTGAAAACAAACACAGGACAGACATTCACACACCTGCAGTCACTTAAAAGAACACAATGCTCTTTGGCTCTAAAAAGACTAGTCACGAGGCCGGCTGAGGAAGGCTGGACACCTGCTCACCTGCCTCCTTACCTCTACCAGCCCCCTGAGCTGCCAGCTGGCACGATGCTCAGGGAGGCCCTGATCCTCTGCCTTGTCTGTCCTGGCTGTGAAGTCCCCACGCCACCCCCAGAACTGACCACTGACCTAGAGCCAATCACTTCTCTAGAGTTGACCACTGGACCTAAAGCTCACTGGTGACCTGGCCTAAACGCCATGACTGACCTACAGTCAACAGCTACCAAGTATTTGGAGAACACAGATTGAACGGTCTACTGTTGTGGAATCAAACACCCTCAGCTCCATGAAAGAAGGAGCTGAGGCCACAGCTGATTACAGCTCAGTTCACACGGAGCTTCTAAGACTATGCAGATGTCATTGCGGCTTCTCCCAAGAGCTCGTGACTGGAGCACCGGATGAGCCTGGCACCGTCATGGAAACAACAGGTCTGTCTGGGGGCTCGTTTAAAATCAAGCAAATTCTCCTTAGCTGGGACCACCACTCTGCCCCAGCACTTTCTACGGAGATTCCGAGCCGCCGAACAGCCCAGGATCACACGGAACAACTGTGCGAGGCTGAGACACTGTGTCCCCAGCTGAGCACAGGGAGCAGGGACTCTCTTAGCCACGTCCCATCTAATTTGGGCTCAATAATTGTTCACTGGCACTGAAAAAAAAAAAGACTCGATGCTTCATTTTCAGGAAAAACTCATCCCAAAGGATAGAGAAAAGGTTTGAGAGGAATCTTTTTCTTGTATTTGGGATCCAGACTCTGTGGAAAAGGCAGTTATGTATGAAAAAAACCCTTCAACAGCTGTGTGCCCTTCAACCCAGCAGTTCTGGGAACTTATCCCAACAGGATGAACATTCAGCAACACAGATGCGTGTCACTGTGCTGTGTGGATCGTGAACAGTGCACATATCACACCACAGGAAGCGGGTAAGCGACAGTCCCATCTACGTTACGTAATCAGGGTGAGTAACATACAGAGGGGCGGCATTAGAATGAAAAGTGCCTTATGATATTTAAGTGGGAAAAGCAAATTACAAAAAAGTCGGTATAATATGATGGAAAATAAAATGAGAAGTAGCTGTGTTCCTAAGGAAAGATCTCACTGACACCTGAGAAGTTTATAACAAAAAAGTATCTGAATAATTATTTGAATAATTGCCAGCAACAGGGTCTCATACTCACAGCAGGCTCTATGTTGAGCTCTTTTCTCTCTTTGTCTCCTTGGTCAAAAAATTCAGCCGCTACAAGCTCCGCTATCTGCAACGAACAAGAGGACGTCCTGGCGATTTAAAGCCTGTCTCTCTGTAGAAGGGACTCTGAAGGCTCTTTGATAACAGAATCTACCAAACCTGCAGCTTTCAAACTCATCAGTAAAGTTAGAATAAAGCCGTCATGGGGAATGAAGTTATGTGTCATTTGCCTTAAATGTGTGTCTGGTGACAAAGGCTGGAGTCTGCGGTCCTGATCTTCTGTAACTACATGGAAAAAGCTAACGTCATTTCACCGCTGGCACCTGGTGGGGACAGAAGCAGCGCGAGCCCATCTGTGTGCGTAACCAATGAGGCGTCAAGCGCCTGCGATGCCTGGTGCTGTGCACACACCTCAAATAAGCGCGCACTTTGCAAATGATCCATGGGCCTTGTAAGTTCTTATTAACCTGCGGGACCCTCCTCTTCTCACTCTCTAAAAATGTTCCTTATGATTTTGGTGGTGGTTCTTGCTGAGTGCACTGGGTTGTTTGTCCTGCAGTTTCCTCTGTCCAGGTTCTGCTGACGGCATCGCTCTGGTATCATTTAGAGTCTGCGCCCCGCATTTCCCTGCCCTGGCAATGAGATCTGCAGACTTGATTAGATCGATGCTGGAATGTTTTTAGTTCGCATTTTTGCCATGATTCCTTCACAGGCAGTGCTGCGTGCCCCTGCCCAGGGCTCTGGAACGAACGCCGGGCTGACCCTTTCCGTGACCTTGGCAGCCGTTGATGACCTCGGTCTAGATACAGTTCTTAGGGGCTGCAAAAGCTGACATTCAAGCAATCGATCATTCCTTTTTCCTTTATAAGTTGAAATACAATAAAGAGAAAATTAATTATTTAGTTACCCTAAAGTACAATTGGTATTA